AGGTTTCCTGTTGTCCCTGCATTACATTGTTCAAACGTTCCTCAGTGTTCTACTCAGTCTGTCCGTTATCTTAACTGCGTATTCTTTGAGGGTCGCAGAGCTGGAGCCAATCCATGCTGACATTGAGTGAGAGGTGGGGTTCAGCCTGGACAGGTCATCAGAGTATTACAGGGCCAACATACAGAGACAAAAGTCTCTCATCAACCTTATCCCTCATCACATGTCTTTAGACTGTGGGGCGAGGCCCGAGTACTCAGAGAAAACCCACACAAACACACAGAGAACACGCAAACTCCAAAAAGTAAGAGGCAATAGTTCTAACCACTGCCCCAGGGCCCAACAGTCCCATTTAAAACCATCATTTAAATTCACTGGATCCAGGCTTCACTTGGATCTGCATCAACTTGCACACACTCGTAAATATCAGTCTACTTAATTTTTCATCTCCTTCCATGAATTATTCTCTGAGAAATAAATGAAAAATTTTGAAAACTCCCTTTCTCACAATGCTAAAGAAAGTGAAACAAAATTCTGGATCTGCCCTGTTTCAAAGTTTCTTTCCTGACTCATACTGCATCCTTCCATTAACTTTCATAGTAATCCCTTACATAGTTGTTGCCTAAACAGACAAACACATCATGATTAAAAACCTCTTTAGCAAATCAAAAATAAAACTGAAATACTGGAATACCTACAGTTCATTTCCTTACCAACACCTACAAAGGTTAGATTGATCTCATCAGTGGCATGCGCAACAACTTTATTTGCTCCATTGTTTCTATGAGGCCGTCACATGATTTCCTTATCTCCTGCCTCTCACATGATCTCACACTTACGCACAGTGCAACTGCCACTGTTTGTAATGCCATTCATTTCCAGTGTTTTGCAACAAACCTGTTTGTGTATGCAATTAGTCCCCCCTGCAGGGAGCCAAAAAATCACTGGTGGAGCCTGTTGTGTCCGTGTGCACACAGAGGAGCGTAATATGCTGAGCCATCTGCAGCATCATGTCTGCTCCATGCAGGAGACAGCCTCCCCATCAAGTCCAGGGAGTCTGACGTCCAATACACACACAGACAGACAAGACAGACACACACACACACACCATACACCCATGCATGCATGTGTGCACTCATGCATCACAGGTAGGACAGGTAGGTCACAAGCATTGTCCCACGCTCTTGCACGAGCACACAGTGATGCTTATCTACAGTGCATGAGACGAGAAAAACTATGCATGAAAATGATTTCCATAGTGGTTTAATAATAACCGCTGTTATCCTGCTTGGTGTGCATGTGGTTTTGCTTCAGCAGTTTAGCTGTAACTACACACAGAGGAGACAGGGCTGCTAAATGACAGAAATACCTTGTCTTTGTTTGCTCTTGTCTCTATGGCAACGCTGACAAAGACACGGCACCAGATGGCTGTAGCACGTTTAAGTGGTCTAAATTGATCTATCTCGACTCCTGCATCTTACACACTATTCTTCAACCAAATATCTGGTTTCATCTTTTGAATAATCATCAGATGATAAATCCAGAGCGACGAGGTGGGACCAAAGGGTTCTGCATATAAATTGTGGAAAAAACTGCAGAAGTCCATTAATCATGAGCTGTGACCGATGGTGTACATTAATGAAACAGGCTCCTGAGCCAAAACAACAACGCAGTAAGAGCATCATGCAATTATATGTGTACATATGTGTTTACAAGGAGAATTTTCTAATCTATTCATCCTCTGTATTTAATAATGTGATTTATTCTTGTGCTTTCATCAGTTATTTTTCAGCATGTTGTGATTACATTCATACATACACTTATATATTGAGAATATACAGAGACATGTGCTGTATTGGTGTATATCTCGAGATCCACTTTTATTTCAAACATGCAGGAGAAGAGTTCCTCCAAGAAATGTCCATATTTGTGTATACTCTGCACGAGCATGCACCTCTAAATTATCACTGGCCACCCCTTCTCCTGCGTTTTGCTTGACTTGAACTACAGCCTGAGAAAAGCTACATAACGATAGCGGGGGTAATGCATTCCACATGTGCACAATTAATGTGCAGGGTCTGATCTGCCGTGGACTCACCAAATATGGTTTTTAGACAACTTGTGTGATGCAGCAAGGTCATTTTATACTAAACTTTGTACTAAAGACCGGTGGGGTGGAATTTCCTTTGCAATTGGCTGCCTAGATGCTCTCTATTCATGCAAGTGGATTAAAGAATTTACAATTATATGTTTTATGAACAGTGAATACAACAATCACTGTGCTGCAGCCAATTGCAATGCCACCGCAACAGCAGCCAGACTTGCAGAGATCTTCACTCATGTGGCTGATGAGGCTGTCATAGAACGAAACTCAATCAAAACTGTCTTATTCAATTTTCTTTAATCAATCAACATCACTCTGCGTTTATAGCTTAACTGTGAGATCAGATGACACCATGGAAAGACAGTGTATATAAAAAGCTTCCCCGTCCATTGGTGGCAGTGGGGTGATGTGATCAGGAAGACAGTTTATTAACAGAGGAGACTCACTGTGGCTCTTTGACAACAAGCATCTGCTCAGCTAAATATCCTGAAACAAGTTGATGAAACCTCCTACTGCTCTACAGCTGGACATGTGCTGTGACCTCAGTGAAATGAGGAGTTCTCTATTGGGGATTGATGATGGTTGGTTTTTTTATTCATTAGGTCAGAGAATTTAAATTCCTGCTTATATAATATAATAACATATAATTCCCAATGTCTAAAGTGGATCCCTGCCCTGCTGATTGATTATTATGAGCATGAAATTAAGGGGCGCAGTCAGGATTCTTTCTATGAGATAGAGGCCAAACATTTTGTCTTTTTTTTGTTTTATGCTGACATCCAGCCAAACAAGTAAGAAAGACAGAAAGAAAAGCACGAGAGGCAAAGAGCAAAAGAGGGGGATGAAGGGAGAGAAAAAGAAAGGAGTGAGGAGGGTGTGACCTTAATCCTGCAGAGGGAAAGAAAGAAACATGCACGCACCGAACATGCACGCACATCTGGTCCATCCAGTTTCTACTTTGTATTGCAAAATAAATGTAATGTATGCTGGCAGTAAAACTAGTGATACAGTTGTCGAAACTTCTGAGTCAGCTCTTTGGCAGGTTGATTAGTTTCTCTGTGACTGCAGTGGGCTGTCATTCATGGAATAAGGGTGTGGTTGTTTGGTTACTGAAAGCCCACTTCAAGACTCTTTTAGGGTCATCAACTGTCTTTTTGCTTTTAAACGATGTATTATTTTATGTTTGACTTGGAATGAGATTGTATGAATTTGCTAATTGTCTTGTTTTTATTCGTCCTCTTTGTGAAGCACTTTGTAGCAGCTGTTTTAATGCCGTGGGTCAGCAGCTGTTTGTTGCCATTATTTTTTAAATGATGTATTATTTTATCTGCTTTAAATTACATTGTATTAGTTTGCCTCTTGTCTTTGACATTTTGTATTCTGGTTTTTATGTTTCCTTTTTGTGAGGCACTTTGTTATGGCTGTTTTTAAAAAGGTGCCATATGAATACACTCATTCATATTATTATTACAGTCACAGCCATTTCCATTTTGAAGTTGATATCATATCTGTGAATGTGCACAAGCTATTATTAAAGTGACACAGACACAACTGTAAGCCGGTTCCACCACCAAAGCCACACACTGCAGGGTCATGTACAATATTGCATGACGCCTCTTTGTCTTCACCTGCACACAAGCCACTACATGTTCCATCTCCACATCAGGACAAAAAAGTAGGCTACCGTTCCAAGTGAAGGCGGCCATGCCACTGTGGAGAGAGCAGATTCTGTTAATGACACCTCAGATCTGGGTTCTGTCCAAAAAGCCTGCAGGGACGGCCTTGCTCTCTGTCTCATCAAATAACAATGAACAGCAACAAGCGGCAGGGATGTTGGAAGGAAAATGTGACAACATGACCGCCGTATCTGAACCAAAGTGGACTACAATCCACCATGTGCGTGTAGGTAGCTACATTTGACTAAATTCATCCTAAAACTGTAAAGATGTACTTTGCAGCTGAAGTACACTGCCCTCATGTGGCTATCACAGCACTATGMGTTATACACATTACTGCTCTCTCTCTTTGTGTGTGTGTGGGACCAAATGGCCCCGGCCTAATTAGGCAAAACTTCTTCGTCTGAGGTCCTGGTTAAAGTTAGGGGTAAGATTTGAATTGTGTTTAGGTTGAGTGATTTGTCATGTTTAAGGGTAGGAATGAGTTAAGCTGTCCACAATGAATGGAAGTCAAATGCAAAATCCCAATAAGGTTGGCTGCACCTGTGTCTTTGTGTGTCTGTGTACGTATATGTTTTTGTTACCTCTTCAGTACAGTTTCCTTCGCTAAAGGCAAATATGTGTGATTGTCATTACATTAAAAGCTGAGGTTTTGGTATGTAGGTGTACTGTGTGTGTGTACTTGTACTTGTGTATTTGTGAGGACCAGTTTGAGCATAGACCTTATGGAGTGGGGACAATTTTGGAAAGTGAGGACATTTTGGCCGGTCCTCACTTTTTCAAAGGGTTAAGACTTGGTTTTAGGGTTAGAAGTAGTACGGGTTAGGCATTTAGTTGTGATGCTTAAGGTTAGTACAAGAATGTATGTGAGTGTGTGTGGTGGTTAAGGTTAGTGTAAGGGACAAGGGAATGCAATGATTGTCCTCTACTATAGAAAGACGTGCACGTGTGTGTTTGGGGGGGGGGGGGGGGGGGGGGATGGACAGTGGGCTCCGGTCGGCCTACATCCGTGTCCCAACTCCCACATGAGATGCAGACAGAGGGAAGAGCGGGTGTCTGGTCAGGGGCGCAATGGTGACCCACATCCTGGTTTACACCACACACACCCCATCATCTCTTTACGTCAGACTCCATAAGAACCCACGAGATCAGAGCTGCACGATTTCCACACATCAAAACCAAAATGCATTCTTGTACCACCTTGAACGCACCAAGACGCGTTTACGTCCCGCCGGACGTGGGCACTTCCTCTGGATGTTTGAAATCCCTCATTTTTCCTCCATCTGTGGGAGCCAGCGTCTGCTCAAGGCTGCGTCCATTTTCTGCTTCCACAGGGGTGTTCACACGCACACGAGTATCTAAATCTTGAATAGTTAATATCCTCTTTGCTTTTGACCAAAAATAAATAATTTAAAACTCGATGTAAAGCTGAAAGTCGAATGACAACATTTTTATAAGTGATTTAAACAACTATTTTAAGAAGTCTTTCGTTTGACCACCCCTACATGAAAGCCTGGTGCGCTCCACTCCCTGCCGTTAGCCGTTGTTGTATCCGATGCTACTGAACAGATTCGCCGTGGTACAAACTCGCTCCACACTGCTACAAAAGCCCGGAAAAGATGCTCCTTCACGGGATTAAAACAAGAAAACAAGCCGCCAGAAGTCCCGGGAAACTTTACCGAACTGTGGGCAAACTTTGATAGATTTTCAACCCAAATACCACTTGTCTACAGTTCCCGAGGAGTGTGTTAGCATTGTTTTATCTCACCACCACTGTTGCCACTGGACGCGTACACACACACACACACACATATACATATATTTTTTAAATTATTTTTCTTCTGGAGCAAGTCCAGTCTGATGAATTCACCGAAAAAAGACGGAGACGATGATGTGCCCGTTAAAGACCCGGTGAAATATGGCGAACTGGTCATTTTGGGGTAAGTCTTTTCTTTCTTTCTTTTTTTTAACCTGAAGCTATAGTAAGAAATGTGTGGGATGGAGAAACCCACCATTAACCTTGAATGTGTAGCATTAGCTGTAGCACAATAAACCACCGGATGACGTGTGAGCTCAGGTCTGTTCTTGTTAAAACAAATGGCTGTTATGTTGGTGAATTCAGGCTGTAAATCTTAATAGTAGCAGCTCATTTGTTACACACACCACCGTCGTTCACCACCGCCAGGGATGTGTAGTAATGTTACAAACTAACTTTACCACAGGAAGCCATGTTCTCTTCTCTGTGGTGGTTTGTAGCATCACGTATGGTTTGTGTGTGTGGGAGCTACATACATGCTGTAGCCATGGTACATGAGGCTACACAGATGTAGCCGCTTTTTCATCAATGGTCGTGTTCGGGGGTGGTGATGGGGGGGGGGGCTGGATCGCTCTGCCCTGAAAATCCCAATGATGTCATACTATGCTGGATCTGCAATAGTGAAGACAGAGGAGGGTGATATCATGGTGGAGGAACATGCAGCGTGCGTGTATGATTTAAAAGCCTGTGTAGTCTGGGGCTGAAGAAGAAAGCGTCATCCAGATGACCATCCATGCCGAGGAGGCAGGAAGAAGAAGAAGGAGGAGGGATAGAGCTTCTCTACATCACCAGCACACAGTAGGGCAGGATGTGCTGATGACAGCCACCAGCTTCCACAGCATTTCCCACCCCTGCATCCTCCACGCTGTGCATGGTGGTCTGCAGGGACCAGAAATGCCACAGCACTCACACACACACTCATACACGCACAGTCACGCAGCGCTTCCTGTGTATGCCAAAGATAACTGACCTAATGGCCTATTGCTTCCCCTCCGGCTGAACGTGGAGTTAGGAGGCTGTAGGCCGCCTGTATCAGAATACTGATTAGTCGTCCTCCCTGTCATTTGACTCTGCGAACAGAGCAGGCCTTCACATCCTCTGAAGAGGCTGAGGAAATGATCATTTAATGCAAATGTTAGATTTTTAGCCATGCAAATTACACACAAGCATTCCCTGCGGTTTGTGGCACGATGCTTAATGTGCCTCTTCGATTGTAGAAAATGCATTTGGGGTTGGCTCACTTTTAAACTGATTTCAATGATGGCCATAGGCTTGTGGGTTGTGATAGGTATTCTCCTTGTGGGCTTGAATTTGAAAGACTTTTACTATTGTGTTATTTACACCACCTACAGTATATTAAAATAACTCATTGTTGTCACACTCCTGGATATGATAATCATATTAATACGTAGGTTATCTACTATCTAGATCTGATTTATTATGAGGCCCTTGACCACCAGCGTCAGAACAGGCTGTTCTCTCCTCTGCTTCCTGTCAGATGTCATGTTTTCCTGGCCCGTTTTGTGCAAGTGTGGTTTGACTCTGCATCTGTCAGCCTTGATGATCTCATGCCCTGTGTGGTCGATTGCAGCTTCAGTACAGCCATGTGATCTTTGCGGTGGCTGCCTGCCATCGCTCATTACCTTAGTTAGCCTGGACACTGTGTACGGTGGCACTGCCCCTGTCCCAGCAGCCCCCGGCATCGCTCAATCCACCTCTACCCCGTGACCCGCTACCGTTGCCATGCAAGCACCCTCTTGTCTTTGCTGGTTATCTCCTCCACACCTGTTTATCTTAGCCACAGCCCCTCTTAACACAGCTTAGTTGCATTCCTCTGCCTTACACCCAGTCGTTTCTCTGCCAGCCTCTCTGTGTTTTGCTGAGTGCTGACTTTCACAGGAGCAGCTCTCCTCGGTGCCTTGCCCTCAACGAAAATAAACCCTGTGTCGAGGGGCAGAAGGAGTGAATATTTCATATTGTGCTTTATGATGTGCACACATGCGTGATGCAGGCCATGGCTGCCCAGCACACTTCACATAGCTCCTCTCTTCCAACCCTTATGCTCGCTGTATCTCTGCCCTTTCTCCCTCCATCTCCTTTCCCTGCCCTTATCCTTATTTCATTCATTTAGCTTAAGTTTTCTCTCTCTAATATTCATGATAGATTCTGACTGCTTTTCTTTCTCCATCAAGGCCTTCGCCATCTTTTTGCTCTCTTCTAAGCTGATTTTCTAAGCTGATTCGTTTCCCATTTCATATCTCATACCTTCTAACCAGAACCCTCAGAGCTCTGTCCCCATATGTCTGTCTTTACTGACCCAGTCCTCCTCTTGTCAGACGGCATTTGAATTAACAGGCAGGGCAAGGGAGGGAGCAGTTAGCACTGAGTCATCCTCCACATTTAATGTCAAGTAAATGTGGCCTGTTTGAAGGGTTTTCCAGGTAGCATGCCCAATCATCTCACCATCACACCACTGACTGCTCTGGCGTTGTGGTTTATGTCCACAGTTAATGAATTCTGGCACTGACATTCATCAAGGTTTAGTTCATTAAAACATATAATGCCAATGAACTTCTCTTAGACAGACAAACAGACTTTTACGAACAAAATGAACTAGTGAAACTTGAGTCAATAAAAAATGTGTCATGTTATTGTACGAAAGATATCGGCAACATCGTTTACTTATGCTTAATCTGTCTATTATTTTCCTGTTTATTGTTTACATTATTTGCTGTATACAACATTAAAAACTGTTATATATCAACCACGATACTGAAAAGGTGGTTGAGTACCCCCCCCTTAATTTGCTCCAAAAGGGAATGGGTTTCTCCTTCACCCATGCCCCACCCTTATTGGTTTAGTAGTTTTTACTAATACTAGAAATATGTAACCTTAAAGAAGCTGGATCTAATACTTTGCCTAAAAATACTTTTATCTTATAAACCACAAATGACATAATATGCTAATAATTTCAAATTTAGTTCAGATAAATAATTCTGCTACTTACTGTTCTGGATTTCAACCAAGGCTTTTTTGTTTATTCTGTTGTCAGATGATCAGATTAATGTCTAAACAACTCACCAGAGCCAAAAGTCATATCTTAAAACTAATATAATATAAACTGACCAGCATCATAAACCTCAAAGTATCTGATTTTGAATGATACAAATGAAAAAAGCCTAGCATGGTTATCATTGGCATTTAATGATCAAATGAAGCGAATATAAAGAACATTCACAGATTGACAGATCTTTTTTAAGATAGTTTAATGTATCAAACAGTCTAGAGCTGCATGGTACAAACATAGAACAGGCAGTAGCCCATGCTGCTGCAGGACTGACTGACTCAGAACAGAGCCAAACCAGATGCCCTCTGATCTGATGCAGTTTGAAGGCCAGTAAAAGCAGTTATTGTCCCTCCTAAAGTCTTCTTGCCTGCGGGGTATCCGCTGAATAGTTTTAATAAAGACCATGTCCTGGTGATTAGTCAGAAGCTGAAAACCAGAATACTGCCTCCTGTGTCAGCCCAGACTCAAAAATTATGTTTAACACATGCATGTCCAGATTTCTTTTAGCTCCGATGTTACAATGAAGTTAACATGATCATTACACAGTAATTTGAAGAACATATTTATGTTGAACTTTGAAACACACAGCACAAAAGAAAAAATCTAGATTTTCATGTCTGCTTCTCTTATACTACTAATACTAACTCTTAATACTAACATTCAGAATCCAAACTAGAATACGTACCCAAAGCTGCACTATTAATTTTATTGTGTGATTGTGTTTATAAAGTTATTCAATCCTGCTGAAAATGCTTTTCATTTTAAATAGAAGTTAAACAAAAAGCTAGCTCTAATTCTCGCAGTATGCAAACAAGATCACTGTTTTTCCTACCATGAGGCATCCTCCATTAAACAAGATGAACGTGTGAACTTGTAAACATGTTGTCTCTGAGTTGTTTTCTTGTCTGATCTGTTTCATTTGGGTGGTATGTCCTTATTTCCGTCCTGTGCTTTGTCTTTCCGCAGGTACAATGGTTCTCTTCCAAGCGGAGACCGGGGGCGCAGAAAGAGTCGCTTCGCTCTGTACCGAAGGGCCAAGGCCAACGGTGTCAAACCCAGCGCAGTGCACATCCTCAACACGCCACAGGACAGCAAGGTACATGTGTGATGGTTTGTCTTTTATCAGCATGTAGCAATTGCTTCCTTCCTGTGACTCCCTTGTCTCTACTAAATGGGCCAGAGGATGGATGACTAAGCATGACAACTGGTGTGTGTGTGTGTGTGTGTGGTCTGTCATTTTCTGTGCGTGTGTGTGTGTGCATGTCTGCATCCATAAATGTGGACAGAAACATGATGAAGTAACATGAAAAATAGTTTAAGACGGGTTTTTACCATCACGCGGTCATTGTGACATGCTACTACCACATATAACATAACATGACTTTTTTTTACATATATGAATTGACAGTATTTTAATAATCTTCAGTTTTGTTTTTCGTGGAGTGTATGGATTGTGAAGAGAGATAAAATACTGTTCCAGAAGATGAGGTCATCCACTCATCCGGCTTGCTGTTGTTGTTGTTGTTGCAGGCCGTACACAGCAGGGGGCAGCACAGCATTTCTTTCACCTTGTCTCGCAACCAGACAGTGGTGGTGGAGTACTGCCATGACAACAACACAGACATGTTCCAGGTAACACATTGAGAAACTCAAAACAACAGGGTCAAACATTTTACATTCTTGAATAATAGTCAGTACTGTTACAATAAAAATCATCTCAAATTTCTTATCACATGCTGTTTATCTCCCAAAATAAGATGTTATGTAATGTCATCAAAGCAGTTTTTCTGTCAGTAGATTATTTTGGTTCTGATCCGTCAAGAAGTAAAAAGTGTTGTGTGGAAAATCTCCATGAAAGTCTATTTTTATACACCAGGTTTTGTTCATATAATATTATCACAGATTTATTTAGTTTTCAGAAAACAATGATTCTTTTAATCAAATTACCCACAGCATTAAAAGCTACAGTCATCCTCATCAGTATATTAATACAGAATGTACAACTATCAATTCTGAATATCACTTCAATAATCATTTGTTTTGATACATTTTATTTACAAAGTGCTTCTCTGCGTTTGCCCCCCCCCCCCGCAGATCGGACGCTCCACAGAAAGTCCCATCGATTTTGTGGTGACAGACACCTCCGGAGGGGGGAAGGAGGGGGAGGACCCCTCCATTGCTCCCAGCACGATCTCACGTTTTGCCTGTAGAGTCGTGTGCGAACGCAGCCCACCCTACACTGCACGCATTTACGCCGCAGGCTTCGACTCCTCCAAAAATATCTTCCTAGGAGTGAGTACACTGATATTCCAGCCAATAGAGGTATCTGATAAGAGGTGTATTTTTGGAATCAGGTTTGCAGCTGTTTGAAATATTGACAAACTCAAGGTGTCAAACTTATTTTTGGATATATGGTTCCCAAACTAGGGTTCATGACCACTCTTGATATGATTTCTGTAAATCAATTACAATTGAAAACCATTTTGAATTGCATATTTTAGTCATAATTGTTATAAAAGATTAAAAAAAAATAAGTATTTCAATCTAAGATAAAACCATGCAAATTAATAATAATATTTTATCAACCCTGTGATATTCTTTGTCCCCACATGACCCCTGAGGTGATTTTGACATATTAGTCATATAGTGTCAGTGGCAGCAGGTTAATTTATAGCACTATATCAATATCCTCTCAATATTGGTCTCCTAAGTCTCTAGGCTAAAACGTTTTGGAACTTCTGAGCTAAATGTTATATAACATCATGTATCATTCATATGTCCTCACGTCTGTGCCACCACAGGAAAAAGCAACCAAATGGAAAAACCCTGATGGACACATGGATGGTTTGACCACCAACGGGGTGCTAGTGATGCATCCAGAGGGGTTTCCAGAGGAGCCGAAGCAGGGGCTGTGGAGGGAGATCTCTGTCTGCGGTGATGTCTATGCCCTGCGGGAAACACGCTCCGGACCCAGCCGGGGCAAACTGGTGAGTCACCACTGTTTTGGTTGCCACGTCCATATCTCTTTTTGACCCATGAAGGTTGTGTGAGGTTTATTTTTTGGTTTGTGTGTGTGTCCCTGTTTCCAGGCAGAGGGGGAGAGCAGCGCACTACGAGACGGTTCCCTGGTTGACCTGTGCGGTGCCACCCTGCTGTGGCGTACGGGTGAGGGGCTCATGCGTGCCCCCACTCTGCGTCATCTGGAAGCACTTCGACAGGAGCTTAATGCTTCCAGGCCCCAGTGTCCTGTCGGCCTCAGTACACTCGCCTTCCCCAGCCTCCCACGCAGCCACAGGTGGGGGCCACGATCCGTAGTGATTGTTCATACAGTGGATTATGATTTATACTTCATGCTAACTAACTAACGTCCTCTGACTAAAATCTTGATGTTTTTCTGCAGCCTTGAAGAACGTCAGCCCTGGGTCTACCTCACTTGCGGCCATGTCCATGGACGCCACGACTGGGGCCAGAGATCTGAGAGGGAGGAGGAACCAGGGGAGGGCGAGGGCTCTACAACCCGCCGAGAATGTCCCCTGTGCAGGAGTGTGGGTCCCTACGTGCCCCTGTGGCTGGGCTGTGAGCCTGCTGTGTATGTTGACGCCGGCTCTCCTACTCACGGTTTTGTTCCCTGTGGTCACGTCTGCTCAGAGAAGACAGTCAGGTACTGGGCAGAGACCCCACTGCCCCACGGGACCCACGCCTTCAGACCCGTCTGCCCCTTCTGCTCCACTGCCCTCAGCTGCCCCGGCTGGACGCGGCTCATCTTCCAGGGCCCCATCGACTAGTCGCCACAGCAACCACTATAACAGCAACCGAACGACGCCCCAAGGTTCATTCATGTCTCAAATATTGGTCAGTATGAAAAGGTAATTAAGTTGGAGTGCTTAACGTCATTTTCGCGTTATTAAAGCATAAGTGTTCTGCAGTCAGTATTCTACGTTGTCAGTGAACGCAGCTCGGAGCTGAAGAATCCTGTGTCTTGTTTATCCTTCAGTCTCTGTTAATTGGTATACGATGATGAGGGCAGTGGCAGAATAATCAATACTGTCATGTGAACAGTATTTATTCTAAACTACCTGATGTCCTCTTCGCTGTCATTCAAGAGTCTGCTGGTTTTTATTTCAAATCAACGCCTCACAAGCTGATTTACCCAGAAACAACTCTGCAAGGTCCAAAACAGTTTGAAACACTTGGTTTTGAGCCATTTTCCACCCATAAATATAGATTTCTTCATAAATTTGTAAAAAAATGTGATATTAAAACCATCATTGTTGTATTTCAGTCATGTAATTTATGCATCTTTTTAAAAGATGATCCATGTCTCAAGTAATTACACATTTCATATGAAACATTCAGACATTTCTTCCAGAAACCATGTAGGAATTGACAATTAGCTTTTTTTCACATAAGGAAAAAACAGTGTTTTAATGTGGTTGTGTGTTTTCTCACTCAGCCAAACATGAATTCTGAAATCGTAGTCTCCACTTTCAGATTTAATATCCAACCACCTTCGCCTTCATTTGCACTCGTTTGCATTCTGACTTCCTCACTCACCTTCTGAATGGCCAGCTGATTCCTATTCATAGCTGCACTCAACAGGCTGTGGTGAATGTGTTAAATATCCGAGGGATCAAGAGAAAAGGATTAACCACTGTTACAACCAGCACATTTTTTAAACAGTTTTCATTGTTTGTATTCAAATATCTGTTTATTGTGACAACTATGCACAGGCCCGCCATAAACGAGACCCCCTGTTTACCATTAGCTTTGAATTAAAACCTGCAGACTCTTGATTAGCACTGAAGCACCAGAGGGAGCACTTCATGCTGTGTAAGGACATGTCTTATCGAGATTATCGAGCAGACAAAGGATAAACAAAGGCTGGGAATAAAACTGGGTAAACGCCACTTCATAACCCCCTATAGCAATAAACGCACTCCCATAGATAAGCTAAATGTTGTGCTATGTTTAGCCAAGTGTTGTGTCAGCGCTGGTCACATATAACAAGACTGAAATGGATTCCAGGTTAAGGGCTCAACCAGAGGCGTGTTCGATACAACTATTAATTTTATGTCTACATGGGGTCGTAGACCAGGTATCTTAAATAAGTGTGATGTAACCAAAGGCTGAAATTTTAAAGACGAGCAACTGAATCAGTGAAAAAATATGTGACATTTGTTTTAATACTCATTTGAAATGCATCAAGCAGGGGGAGCCATGGATCAAGTGGTAGAGCAGGATGGCTGCAGGGTTTAAGTCAGGAACAGCACAAAGCTCATGCCAATATGTGGATGGGGATCCACTGTGGAGACCCAATCCAAAAGACAAAAACATTTCAAATACATGAAGCAGCCACTTGATGCTGACAGAAATCAGGACTAGTCATCACAAACAAGCATTTTGTGTTGTTAAATGAAATCGAACACACTTCTGGTTATTGAATTCTGATCAACAGGGTCTACGTTAATGTGACGGAGCGTCTGAGCGGTTTGACCTTGCATAACCTCAAAAGAAAACCTTTTTTTTTGTTTGTTTATTTCAAAGAAAACTATTTTGTTAGGAAATGGGGGGCGGGATTTATCTGGGGGAGCGGGAGGAATTCTTTTAGATGTTCAGTGTTGAAATGAAAAAAAAACAACTATTTTTCTAACAGATAATTGGTTTTAGTTAACCGTTGTTACTCAGTGTAAGCAAAGTTCTGTATGTTTCCGAATATTATCGTGTGGTAGATGTAGGAGAGCTTGTGAGTGAGAAAAAAACGTTGCCAACACTGTGTCCGACAAACACACGTTAACACACTGCTACCATAAAACATTGCCCAGACAATGAATGTAGCCAAATACTCAGGCTATGTTAAGCCTTCCCTGGTGCTCATATTGAATGGTCTATATTGTGATACTATTTTTGTAACTGAATATTATGGTGTAGCCTGGTGAACTAGCTCAAAAGAGTCTGATGATTTCAATAATAGCCTCAAGTGTGGAAGACGTATAATTGATAACACACACACACACTCACGTGGAATTTGTGTCTTGCTTGCATGTGCTGAACGTCCACATACAGTATGTACACTACACAGACACGTACTCCAAAAACTTTGCACGGTGGATTGCCAACCTGTTATTCAAGCTGAGAGGGTTTGTTGCAGACCAAGATGTCTTCCACTTACTCGTCTGTCAAAACTGCAGCATTTTAGTTTAGGGTTTATTTTTTATTTTTTGGAAGATGTCTTCAAAAGAAACAAAGACATAGAGCCTGAAAAAAAAAATCCTCATACTTGATAGATGTGTGACATTTGTGAATGAGAACCATCAAATCCCACTTTGTACTACTATGCTAAAATTTTCACCAAAACCAATTCACTGCAGAGGGATGTCCACGTCAACGCGTGTTTACACTATGTATTTAGACCATAGACTGTAAATAAAGATGGACGTTGGTCTCCACATCCTTCAATATCCAGAAAGGGAGTCAGAATATCCCGGGTATGAACGCTGGTCTCTTGTGCATTTGAAGCCAGAGCTTCACATGGAGTTCACATTTGGGGAACTTTGACCCACTGTTTTCGCTTCACATTCATATATGTGTGACGAGACCCATCTACAGCGATCAAGGTGCTTTGGCTTCACTTTTGGTGGAGCTGTCATGTCCTCCATCTTTATATACACTCTGATTTCCACCAACAGTGATACAACTCACGCTTTCCACTGTATTTTCCATGTGAAAATCTAAATACAAGAGTTAAGCTCAGCTGAATGCGGCGGACAACTGACGCAGTGTTGATAATTACTGTCGCTCAGGATTGGTGATTTCAGATTCACGGCGGGCAACGCCTGAAGGTAGAAGACACTTTGAGACTAAATGTTAAAAAAAAGATTCATTCTGTGTAACAGAACCGATGTGAGAACAGGGAAGAGACAGATCACCGCAGGTTCAGTCACATACGGGTCTTACTGCAGTATAAGGCAATGACAAATATCTGTATCAGCTGCCCTTTACTACGCACGCCAAATCCAGTGAATCCTGCTTTGGAACATGATGTATACAACAGTTAATGTAACACATTGGCATGTGGATGGAAGAAGCGTTGCAGCACCCTCATTGGCTTCTTGTTCAGCTCACTCTTCTTTCACTTCTCCTTTGCTTTATTCTTTTCTTCAAAACCCTCTGGGTTGCAGGTGTCCATATGCAATTTGCCTTTTTTAAAATTAGTTTTTTTAGAGTTTAGTGAAAGAGTCAGAAGCAATTATGTATTTTAGCGTGGCATCAGGTTGTTTAACACCACCAGTAACATCATTAGCTCGTCCTTAACCTTCTGTTGATTTATTATATCTATCGATTGAGCTTCATTTCACATGATAAAACCTCATTCTCTTCAACTAAGTAGCCGACACTTCTTCTACAGGGCAAAACCTCACAGTTAACAATGCATTCCTTTAAATACATCTGTGTTTTGTACAGCTATTTTCTATTATTTTATATCATATTCTCCTGTAATTGTCCGGTGCACAGACAATCGCTATACACATGTCAATAAACCTGTTAAAAAGTTAAACCTACTCTGTTCTCTGGCTGTTTTGTCTCTATAATAACGTACATTTCATTGTATTTAAATGAAGCCAAAAGCAAGGTGGACTTCTCTTCCAGCAGAGGGCGCTGTCTACCGGCTCCGAGACTGACTGCAGGCCCTGGTGAGGTTGCTTTGAGTTGCATCACCTCTTTACAATAATCAAGCGTTGTAATGAGCAGTTTTGGCAGCTGCACTTGTGATGAGACGTGTAAAATTACAGAACGCCTAGCAATTTAAAGGACTTGAGTTTGTCCCCTCGCAGAAGAATTCAGGATGTCGTCTGAAAGAGCTGCTGAGAGCGACGTTATTCACGAGTTTGTTCAGGAATTGTTTCACTGCAGTAGAGGGGTTTTGCTTTTTCAACGATTATGAAGCTTATTTCAGTGTTGTCTCACTTACACATTACATTCAATCTTTTCCAAAGCACATGAGGGAGAAAACTAAAAGCAGGCTGAAACTATAGAAGAGACTTTAAACAAGTTAATTATAATACATGTTGAAATGTAATTATTTTCCTCTGAGGACAATGCAAAGCTGGCACATCCCCATGGCTATGGAGCCCTGGAGCTCCTTAAGATCTATTATTAGCATTAGCATTTTGGAAAATTTGGAAGTGTGTTTTTCAACATTGTCGCTGCTTTCTCAGTTCATTCATGAATCTTGATGAAATATTTTTGGAATTGATATCTATTATATCTGATGTTTGGTTTCGTAGAGGTTTGTGCTCTATACTGAGCCCCACTGTTGTAATGAGGAAGAAACACAGAGGCAAGAGAGACTTGATGGTTGAGCCCAGAAACACTGGTGTAACATTTGTTAGTTTATTCATGTCAGTGCTGTACGACTAAAGCATTATATCACCTAACATGACGAGAACTTCCACTGACACTTCAAGCACACATCATGTTATCCAGGCAGAAGAATCAAGGTTCTGTAACTGATATTCTGTAGCGAGGGAATGTAAAGACACTGATACGTCCTGGTGTGTTGACACGTTTAAAGATAAAGCCGGCGAGTGGGTTGTTTCGTCTCCTAATATCCAGGACTTGTTCTGAGGAGGGTCTTGTGTCGAAAGCCATTCAGAAGACTATAATAGTAATTTCAGGTGATACTGTGTTCGAATGGTGTGTTTCTAAATTGATTTGTGTCAAATCAGATTATCACAGTGTTAACTCAGGACCATGCACCATATCACGTTCAGGACATTCTGCACAGTGTGGAAAGAAGCAGGAGCCCAGCAGTTCTCTCTCTCTCGCCCGGCAGCTCCCATGCAGTTTTATGCGGCCATGCTCAGTGTGTGTGAGTGTGTGTGTGTGTGTGTCAGGGGATGTAGCATAGATGCCGGAGGCAGGGTTTAAGCAATACAGTTGAATTCTCTCTGGAGGGATTTGTAGGTTTTGATCCCAGCTAATTAATGTGAAACCCTCAATGGGAGTAATGGGTATACGTGACAGTGGAGTTTGAAGATGACTCTCCTGTGAGTGTCTGTGCTTACGTACAAATGTGTGCACTTGTGGAC